GAATAACAAATTTATGGTTAAGCTCATTCGATACCAATACTGTGAAATGTGGAAGCATAATATAGCCGCTTACAGAGACGTCACAAACATCTTCAGAGGTTTCTGATGGTTTTCTGTAATGAAGATATTTTTTGTGCGTCTACAGCTTCCATTCTTCAAACTAGCAGGCAAATATCTACAGCACATAAAATGAAACTTCTGCGAGTTTGTTGTTTGGAGTTGTCTGAAGCAGCTTGTTTCCAAATATTGACGGGACAACCTTGAGCCTTGCAAAACGTATTATCAGCTACCGATACCATTCATTATGATACTGGACCAACGTGCTGAAAATTTCATTTCATTAGAAATATTAATTAGTCAGCAAACTAGCCTCTAGTATACACGTGATTTTTATCGATTGGAGACATGGTTTCAGCCGATCGCGGAAAGCGAAGTGTTCTGATCAACAAACACCTTTTTTCTGCTAGACAAGTTCTGCTACATTAGATGCAGTTTCCGACTACACATTGCGGCGTAATGGTCGCGATATCACGATCATGCACAATCGAGTGCATTTTTTATCCTTGCATGTTATGAGCCGTAATGCAGTCGACCAGTGAGGCAATTCCTTGTATCCTTAAGGAACAACTGTCTTGTAAATGGAAACTGACTAAAATATAGAATACATGGTTAGAACCCACAGTCCGCTGAAAGATAGCCGGACATTCGGAAAAGAGGTGCGGGCAACCGCCTGTGCCTTAACAACACCTAATGCCTAGTGAACCATCGCACGTGACTGGTAAGCAGACACCGAACGTCATCAAGACCGCTTGTGGCCATCCGTATTGCCACCAGGACGCTTTCGACAGGGAACGGAGAAGATCGAGGCGGGCATCATTGGAGTATACGAGACATGAAGATCTACCGAACCAGTTGTGCAATGAAATGACGGCGATCAAATTTTCCTTGGGAGCGCCGTCGAGAACAAAACTCAGACCGGTGGTTCTGGGTTCAGAATAAAATCAAAAGCTGTGCCGTTTCTACTACGTTGTAATATTAAAACACGTCGCATAGCATTGTTACTTCTAAAGATTGGCAAAACAAGAACAACGAAAATAGTATATGCTTACAGCCCAACCAAACAAGATGAAGGTAAAGAAATCTAACAATTCTACATAGAATTGCGTTCTATGAATTAACGAATTCTACGTAAGCGATTGTCCATTAAAACTTCCAGTGTGTCCAGGCAAATACAATACAAGGTAGATTCTTCTCATCAAGAAAGGTGACTCAGACGACCACAAAAATTTTCGACCAGTTACATTCCTGTCGCAAATCTACGATGTCTTCACTCGCATCGTTCTTCACCGTACACTCGAAAAGACCTCGAGCTAGTCACAATTCGACAACAAGCCGCTTTTTAGCAGGATGCTTACCGTCGACCATGTGCATTTGGTTTAGCATCTGACGGAGAAGTGCAACGAATATCAAGTGGTATCAATATGTTTAGCCTTCGTCGACAATAAGAAGGCTTTGTTCAACGTCTGTTCGACTGCATTGACGGCGGCGTTAAACGCTTTGTATGAACATGATATACATGTTGTTTACGGTAGCCTGATTGAGCTATTGAACATAAGTTGTACGAGTGAGATCAAGCTATTCAGCAAATCATGTACTAGCAGCAACCTGCAAGGTGTGCCTCAAGGAGGCACGACCTTACATGCGCTCTTCACTGCAACCTTGAAGTCGCACTTCCACCGGCTAAACTTCTTAACGTCGTCAATATTGATGAAGAGCAACTGGCACACTCGTTATTTGCTGACCACTGCAACGTCTTCGCACAGGGCACAATCGACCTTCATGAAGACATCCTGTCATTGCAAGAAGAGCCTCTCACCATCAGATTGAAGATTAGCCTCGCCACGGCGATAAAGAGGCGAAACGAGTTCTGTTTGGAGGGTTATCTCTATGCAAATGGTGAAGAACTCGAAGAAGTTCGCCAGCTAGGCGTTTCTCAGCCGTCACTTAAGCCGCATGAACTTCGAAGACAGAAGGCAGCTCTGGATACCCTTAATCGTAGTAAAATATCATTATTCGTCAACGAGCTAAGAGAGAGATGTTCGATTCAATGGCGTCATCCACCATGCTCTACGATAAAGGGTGAATGCTACCAAATAATGGCCACGCAAACTGCTTTGAAACGAAAAATGTACAGGTTGTCGCTCCGGAATCACTTTCGAACGCAAAAAATCAAACTGGATAATCTGACCTAATTTCTGCCTTCTACAATAGAAGATGGGCCAGCCGTGTGGCTCCTTGAAAGACAACCCGTGGACGTCAAGATTCATCGACTGGGTTTCGCTGGATCGCCAAGGTAGAGTCGGTCTTCCGAAAATACGTTGGAGTGAACCAATGGTCAAATTACGTGGACAGCGGTGGCTGCTGAATGCAGGGAGTGGAGAATCTTAGAGGGAATTCGCATTGCGTCAATGGCGCACGAATAAAGGAAAAGTAATTACTGTTATTATTAAGAAATCGCAGGGCGCGACTTGAGTGAAAGGCAGCGATTCCCCGTATTCTGCAAAGTCCAAACAGTTGAATAAATTTAATGAACGTCATTGCCTGAAAATAATGCTCAACGGAGGTCAGATGGTCAGCAGCCCAACTTTGTGGATGTCTCAGTCCGTTTATTTGACCTAGTTTGCTTCTGGTTTCTACTTCGTTAGCATTGGTTGAACCTGATTGAGGTACGGATTTACAATCATAAATGCAGCCTTCTTAGTTGGAACAAAGGAACCCTTAACCCAAATTAGCGGGCGCAGAGTCAAATAAATTGCGTCACAATGTCTATTATGAATTTATCATGAATAAATCAGGAAGTCCGCACAAGTTAAGTTCATGATTTTGCTGCATGACAAACAAAAACAGGTCTAACTAATGGAAGCAAAATGATTAACTTTTTATTTGCCAGCTTTATTCGAATACGAATAATGAGTAGAAGGCAATTACTGATACACTTATATTTGTTTTTCGTTGTCGTCTGAAGAAAGTTCCCTCCGTTGTGAAATGGAAATGATATTCATCTGATGAGAAGGAACTATGGGTCAGTGCGTTGGCCAAAGATTTATTCGGATACTGCTTGGTGGTTTTTGCCTCTGCTACAAGATTTTTGGCAACAAGACAGTAATATTTAACTTATTATACACATGGCTGTCAATGGCACACGATGGGTAGTAAGATTCATATCCAGACTGTCTTCGCATTTATGCTACAGAATGTTCAGAAATGATTGATTTGCCAAGTCACTGAGTGAGAAAATCATTAACGGATGGTCATCCGGCCTATTCACTTGTTTCATTTCGGTGCAAAAAGTGTGCAGCTCTCTGTGATCGCTTTAGTTCTGTTCTTATGGGATGTCTCTCTAGATCATTCTGGGGGGGGGAGGAACAGGTTTTTAATTAGGTATTTGACCTGAAACTATTCAGGTCACATTTGCTTACCGATTCATTTCCAAGCCGGGTGGTTCATTCAAACCAGAAGCTGCTTAATCTCACGAAATCTTTTTGACAGTTCCTGCCCAACGCCAGGCGTATCAGTCCCGTGTTCTTGATTCCAAAATATGCAATCGTAGTCTTTTATATAATCGAGTTGTCCGGTCGACGGTGTGCTTCTGTGGCATTACCAGGAGTCTACATGCTTTTCTTGTGGCCTCCTAGTGACATCATGAAACCGTCGCAATTGTCATTTCTCGATCTACTCAAGAAACGGCAAAAAACGGATGCTATCTCGAACTGTGGTGTTCCGGACATTGTAGAGTTTAGTCACCTCACCGTTGCTTCTAAGAAACGCCACGTTTGCTGCTTTTGACAAGATTGCAAAATGATGGTGGATAGTTTACAGACTTGACAGGAGATTGCATCAAACTGCTTTTTAAGTCTTTTTTATCTACTACAGATTTGTTTAACACCAGTATTGCAGCGTTTGCATGGTCGATTAGTGTAGCAATGTCGCCATCCTTCGCATCATCCCATAAATGTCATTCAAACGCCATACCGACATTTCGCAACCTATAAAATCGTACAGAACCATCAATTCCAATTCTTGTCTTCAATACATCGCAAGTCTCGCTGTTACGCAATGACGTCTACCCATGGAAAGAAGCACAGTTGCTAGATACGACACCGAATGAACAAGAATGCGATACCGAATAATGAAACAGGAAAGATGCTCGTTTGAAAGACTACTGATTGGATGAGGCTGGAAAATTCCAGGACACGTAATCAGATATACTCTCACTCATGATCCAATCCTTTTCAGACCAATAAATGCGAATTGCAATCATTGGTATGATTAGGATGCTAATGCTGGAAAAGAATCTTTTAAAGGAGAATTTTCCGCGCATGCGGACATGGCAACCAACGATATGCCAATATCAGACGAAACTGGCTCTGCCACGCTAGGATCAATAAAATAATCACCTGATGTAGATGTTTCTGCAAAATCAAAGAAAAGGTGTGGTCTGAAATGAAAAGACAAAAGGCGATGAAAACATGAGAAATGAAATCAATTTATAGACATAGCACAAGTTGATGCAATGGTCTCAAAGACAGGAATTCATGTTGTAAAAATAGCCTATTATGCACAACTCCAACAAGTCAAGTTGAACGGCATGATGGCATGGCCCTAAAATGTTTTAAAGTTTTCTAATGGTACACATCCATCCTTCACCCATTTTAATGGTGCCGGTAGACTATCTATGGAAGAGTAATTCCAGCACTTCTTTGGCAATGTGTAGTGTACCTTCAACAAGTCAAAATTCACGGTTTACAGGCAGGCTGAAAGACTGGATACTCCATGAAAACACGATTTATTCTTACACAGTGTAGACAGTTTGGTCAATTGAATGATTAACCAGTATTGACGTTTCAGCTTGTGTTTCACGAGCATAGTTTAAAGTGGTCAGGGTTGATTTCTAAAGTTAATTCTGTGGTTCGCAGTTGTTATAAGTTTTGAACCAAAAGGCTTACCCTTTGTCCATTAGCTTTTAGTCTGATGGAAGAAAATGGAAGGCTAAAGATTTCGATGACTGTATGCCATTATTGAATTGAGCCAAATGAATTCTATGTTTATTTTTGACAGAAGGTAACAACGGAAAACATTGTTTCATTACCGTACAGGTTCAGTTATGTGTTTGATAAGGAATTGTCATGAATATCCACAATGAATTGCTGTAAGATAATGAGGTGAAGGATGCTGAGGGAAATTCCAGATGTCAACTAGCCGAAAGTCGCGGAGGAGTAGACAAAGTCGGCGAAATAGCCAAACGAAATAAAAATGTAAAAGCGAGATTTAATTTTTCCAAATGTCAATTAGAATTTTCGACATATTCCATAGTAGATCAATTCATTCGATTTCAACTTATTCAGTACCAGTCGGCGTTGTCCTTTGGTGTTCGCCGTTCGTCCGCCTGTAGTTAGATGGAGGCGGAAATGCGCTACCGTTAGGAAGTGAAGTTAGAAGTCAAATCCGATGACGGCATCGCGCCTCGATCGCGTCGTTGATAGAACCTTGCCAGGCATTGTTCGTGATGACATGATCGATCTGACTTATGGATCGCCCTCCATCCCTGGTCGGTACCCATGCCTGCTGATGGATCCTTTTGTGTTGGAACTGCGCCTCGGCGATGAACATCTCGTGTAAGGAGCAAAATATCGATTACAGTCATCACTACTGCCATGACGATCCAGCGCTTGTGGTCAGCATGTGTTGTTGGCTACGACTTTAGCGGTGAGGTCGCCGACCACAAGCAATAATCAATAAGTCAATAAATACATAAATATAAATCTGTAAGTAAATAACTGATAGTGTGGCAATTAATATATTACCTCGCAGGGACAGTCATAGAACTGACCCATCTTCTGATTGCCATATACGTTTGCAAGGACATACACGAACCCACGTTTGGACTTACATGCCGGGTGGCGAATCTAAGGATCATCAGGCGACAGTTCATGCATTCGACAAAA